AAAAATCTGTCGAGTAAATGAATGCGTGCATCAGCTCATCACTGAGCAAGGCTTTGGTGATGGCCTGGTTCCACTCCCACATACACCTCCACCGCTGGTCTTGAGGAATGATGATTCCTGTGCACTGATGGGGGAGGCAAGAGGAGAACTTAAATTGCTGTGCTCTCAATTAACTTACCCCTCACAGCCACCCCAGCTGCCCCTTCCCCCAACCCCTCCCACACCAACAAAAGCAGCCTTCAGCCTGCCTCTCTCCCCAAAGCCTTCTTTATTTGCCTGTTTATTGTTTTCTTGATTCCACGTTTTTCTCTTTTATCCAAGGCTGATTTGTGGAAAGACAGCCAGAGCCCATGTTAAGTCTGCACGTTAGCAGAAACTGGATGCTTCTCCCCCACCACGCCCCCGCCCCGCTTGTTGGCTGATATTTCAGGTCCATATAATGGTGGAGCCGGGGACAGAAGAGAGGTGAGAAACCATGCTGCCCTGTGTGACGGTGCATGCTGCAAAACTGCAGGGAGTGATTTCACATGCATATGGCAGCCTTGGGCAGGAAAGGTCTCACTTGAGGAGGACAGTTGTAATTTGATGTTGAAGCCCTCAAGATATAGTGTAGTTCAAATGCTGGGGGCTTTTCCCTCAAGGGATGCTTTGCAGGCTCTTCAGAGATGACACTCCAAGAGCGGAGTGTCTCTCCCACCATTTTCTTGATGGCTCCTCTGGCTGCTTGTACCTGTGTCCTCTGCCCCCACCCCTTCCAGGTGGTTCCTGTGAGTGGTGCATAGTCTGGATGTTTGTGTGCCCCTCCCCCCATTCATATGTTGAAGCCCTAACTCCCAATGTGATGAATGTGATGGTATCAGTAGGTGAGGCCTTCGGGAGGTGATTAGGATTATTAAAAAAGAAAAAAAGAGGCAAAAACTGCAACCACTTTTGCGCCAACCTAATACAAGATCATGAAGGTAGAGACCCTCTGGTGGAGTTAATTAGTGTCCTTATAACAGGAAGAGACCAGATTGTGTGTGCTCTCTCTCTGTCTCCCTAAACCCCTCCATTTAAGGACATAGAAAGAAGGCAAGTCAGGAAAATGGTCCCTGCCGAGAACAAAATCTCCCAGCATCTTGATCTTGAACTCCACCCTCCAGAACTTCGAGAAATGAACTTCCATTCCTTAAGCCACCCAGCCTATGGTGCTTTGTCACGGCCGCCCAAACTGGCTGATTCAGTCGAGGCCATCACAAGATGATCCAGTCTGATTCCTTCCATGGGATCCATACCTGGCCCATGGGAAACTCTGGGAATAGATCACTCCCATCCCAGACACTTCCTCTCTGCTTCCCTAGGGCAGCCAGCAGCCATAGACATTCAGCTGCAGGCTCTTCCAGCACAAATCAAATTCACGTCAGTAGACGCAGGCCAAGCACCTCCTCTCCTTCCCAGTGGGCAGAGGAGAGCAAATTCTAGCACCCCAACAACTCACTCCAGAGATTTGCTTCACCTGCCTCCAACCTCTGCCATATTCTGAAGGTTTATACCTCTCAAATATGTATGTGTTGAAGCCTAATCCTCAATGAGGTGGGAATAGGAGATAGGGAATGAGGGCAGAGTCTTCATGAATGGGATTAGTGCCCTGATAAATGTCCCCAAGGGAGCTTGTTGTCCCCTTCTTCCATGTGAGGATGCAGTGAGAAGGCCCCACCCATGAACCAGATTTGCCAACACCTTGATCTTGGACGTCTCAGCCTCCAGAACTGCTAGCAATAAATTTATATTGTTTATAAGGCACCCAGTTTGTGATATTTTTGTTAAGCAACCCAAATGGACTAAGACAACCTCTGTAAATAGTCTTAACTTTGCTGGTAACCAGAGGGCTGGGGAGAGGTGAAGGGCTAACCCTGGTAGAACCCAGTTTGGGCATCTCCTTTGCAAGTCTTGCTGGCTGGTCTAGCCCCTCACGCTGAGATATGAGAACACTTGGACCTATTCTATTGTGGTCTTAGAGCTTTCTGTCAAAACTCCAAGGCTACAGGGAGTCTCATGTAACATCTCGTCACACACATAAAACAAGTTGGTTATTAACGAGAGAGGAATGAAGGAGGAATGGGAAAGAGAGAAGGAAGATTTTCTATTAATGCAAGCCAAGTGAACAGGAATCCCCCATCCAAGCAAAACCCCCCTGTGCAGGAGCAAGAGACCCCCCAGTGGTCCTTTGGGATACTGCAGGATGCGTCTGGGAACTTAACTGTTCGTTTCCCAGACTTTTCCACTAATACCTCACAGTGTGGGGGTCTGAATAGTGACCCCCTCCTCCTCACAGATGCTTATGTCCTAATCTCTGGAACCAGTGAATGTGTTAGCTTATATGGCAAAGGAATCTTTGCAGAGGTGATGAAGTGAAAGATGGGAGATTATCCTGGATCATCTGGGTGGACACAATACTGTAATCACAAAGTCCCTTAGAATAAAGGGATGTCAAACAGTCAAAGTCGGAAAAAATAGGTGTGAAGATGGAGCCAGAGGCTGGGGTGATGCAGTTTTTAGATGGAGGAAGGGACCACAGGAGCCGGGAATCTGGGTGGCCTTCAGAAGCCAGAAGAAGCAAGGAAGTAGATCCTCTCCTGAAGCCTCAGGAACCAGCCCTGCCGACACCCTGATCTTAGACTTCAGACCTCAATGTCTGTAAGAGAATTAACTTCTCCTGTTTCAAGTCACTAAGTTTATGTTAATTTGTTACAGTAGCTACAGGAAGCTAATACTGCACATGTATCTTTTATTTGCCTTTTATTTGGCCAAAGGAAGGAAAGTTCTCTGGGTACTTTCAACATCTAGAGATCATAATAATATATAGTTATGAGGCAAACACAAGTGCTAAATGCAAACGGGTTTTCCACTGTCTCCTGTGGATTTTCAGCAGACTTAAAGGGATGCTGGAATACTTTCAAAATTGAGCTGAAATTCCATTGTGGACTAACTTAAGAATGAGTTCTTCACGTCCAGAAAGCCAAGCTCTGATTCATTTGCTTTTCTTTTTAGAAGCACGATGAAGACCGACACCCGAATTATGACTAACAACAACTGTTCACAGGTTAAAACCCTGCATAATAATCCATGACCAGGTTACCTGCCTGAATTCATGACTTAATTTATCTAGCCCATGTTCACCCAGTAGGAAACATGTGTTTTAAAGAAAAATAAAACTTTATTCAGGGTTCCCAGCAACATTTAACAACTGAGCCCATCTGTTCAATAAAATCTTAAATTGGGAGCTTGTCTTCAGTTGTATTGAGGGAAATTTTAAGGCACCAAATGGAAAGATAAGTTTATATTAATATTTTTGTCTTAGTTCAGGCTGCTGTAAAAGAATGCCACAAACTGGGTGGCTTAAACAACGAGCAGTAATTTCTCACAGTTCTTGGGACAAAGTCTGAGATCGGGGTGCCAGCACGGCCTGGCTCTGGTGGGGACTCTTTTCCTGGTTTACAGATGGCCGATTGCTTATATTTTTGCCTGGTGAAGACAGAGCACCCTGGTCTCTTCACCCCCTTCTAGGGGCACTAATCCCCTTCATAAGAGCTCCATCTTCACAACCTAAGTACCTCCCAAAGGTCCCACCTCCAAACACAATTGCTTTGGGGATTTAGGCTTCACCACATGAATTTTGGGAGGATACATAAGTTCAGATCCTAGCAGTTACCCATATGTTTCCAGCCTTAGCCAACCATGACTAAGAGGTGAGGACACAGTTCCTCTCTACATCCACGCTCTAGCCACACAGCACTCCAGTCAGCTGGAGGTTATACACTGGCCCACCCTGTAAGTTCCTCTTAGTTCTCAGTGTCTCCAATGGCATGGCTCAGGGCCTTACACTGACCCCAGGTCTCCTGGCCCTCCTGTCAGTTCCAGCACCTGAGGGCTCCAGCATCCCCTCTAGACTGAGGTGGGTACTCCCTGTACTCACAGCCCTGCACTATCAGAGTCCTGCTGGCCTGGGGTGCAAGCAGGAGAGTGGTGCCTCCCCAGCCCAGGCCCCGCTGCATCCCAGAGCAGCACCCTCACGGTCAATCGAAAAAGCCAATTCTGCCTGGGCTTGGGCCTCACTCCCCTGGCCACAGGCCCCCAGCCCTGCCCGCAGCCTACCGCTCCTACCCCCAGCTGCTCCTGCCCCCACCCGCTCCTGCCCCCTCCCTGTCCTGCCCCCACCCGCTCCTGCCCCCACCCATTCCTGCCCCCTCCCTCTCCTGCCCCCACCCGCTACTGCCCCCACCTGCTCCTACCCCCTCCAGCTCCTGCCCCCTCCCGCTCCTGCCCCCATCTGCTCCTGCCCCCACCTTCTCCTGCTCCCTCCCGCTCCTACCCCCTCCTGTTCCTGCCCCCTCCCGCTCCTGCCCCCACCCATTCCTGGCCCCTCCCTCTCCTGCCCCCTCCCGCTCCTGCCCCCACCGCTCCTGCCCCCTCCTGCTCCTGCCTCCACCTGCTCCTGCCTCCTCTCACTCCTGCGCCCTCCTGCTCCTGCCCCCTCCTGCTCCTGCCCCCACCTGCTCCTGCCACCCCTACTCCTGACTCCAAGGCCTCACTGGACTGGAAGTTCCAAAAGAAGGAAAACTTTTCTTACACATCTCAAAAGCACACCCCAAAGAGGAGTGATGGGGAAAAGAAATCCCACCACCCCTGCCCAGCTGCCTCCCTGGCTCCTTCATGGGCCCAAAACCCCCTGACCCATCACTTTGAGTGCACAGAAAGCTCCCCAGCTTCTTCCCAGACACCCCATCCTAACAACCCGCCACACTAGAAAGCAGGCCTGGATTTCTACAGACGGTCCTCAACCTACCGGGCTCGGGACACCCCAGGGACTTGAGCATCCTGCCATTCCGGCTGCGACTTTCTGGGGTTCTCGGCATATGGCTATCCTCTTTAAAGCTTTCCAAGAGAGTGTCCATGGACTGAGATAATTCTCAATCATCAATATCCTCAGCTAAAAGTAGTAGTGGAGCTGCTGACACAAATGGTTTCTTAAATTTTATTTTGTCAAATTAAGTACATCAAAGAGCTAAATGGTTTTTGAGAATAGACAGCATGACTTGAATCAGGAGACAGCAGAAGCCTCCGGAACAGGGCCCATGTGACATCCTCGGCAATGATTTGTGGCAGCAGCTGGAACCCAGGGCTGGGGTGCCTTAACTGTCATTGCCTGATGGTTCTGAGCAGCTCTGTCCTTACTTAGCCCAAGGCTGGATCCAGGCTTGCACAATCTGAAGGTTTTGCAATTTAGAGATTGCCCTAAGTAAAGGAACGGAAAACCACACATAAAAAAATTGAGGCACAAAAGTGAATGCTTATTTTGAAGGAGCCTGTGGGGGAGGAGCCTTGTACCTTAAATGTTATTAATTTCACAGTAGATAACTTCTCTGACTTGGCTTCAAAATCCTAGCACAGCTTGGGCTCTCTGGTGCTAATCAACCATCAATCAAGCATCAGGTAAGCCATCCTTGATTCCTCCTGTGTGGATAACTGGTTGTGTTCTTAGGCCTTGCAGGGAGGGACTCCCATGTTCAAGAGCCACGAGGCTCTAGAGAGTGGGCTGAGGGAGGCTGTGCTGTCTGTGCCAGGACTCCCCAGACCTGCTCCCAGCACTCTGAATGAATGGCAGTTATCCGCCGCACGTCCCCGGACCTGCTCCCAGCAGTCTGAATGAATGGCAGTTATCCGCCTCACATCCCACGGAACTAGCATTTCCAGACCTGCTCTCGGGATCATTTCACTCACATTTTTCAAGGTAAGACCTTACAGCATGCTTCAAATGTGTGGCTTAATGCAACTCACCTGTGACACTGTGGGTGAGCGAGGTATTCATTGGCCCAGGGCAGGCTGCTGTGCCCAGACAGTTGGCCCGACAGCTAGGGGCTTGCACTGTCATCTCCTGGCTACAATTTCTGGTCTCCACTAAGCATTCTTTTCTTCCCATTTCCCCCCTACTTTTCTTCCTCTTTTTCTTTCTCTTCTTCCTTTTAGAACTACCAGTAAACTTCAGCTGCTCTAGACATCGCTCATTAGCATGTTTGTCTGGCTGACTGCAGCGTGAGATGTGGTTGGGCATAGGAGCTGAATTAGTCTGTTTTCACACTGCTGATAAAGACATGTCTGACACTGGGCAATTTACAAAAGAAAGAGGTTTAATGGACTTACAGTTCCACATGGCTGGGAAGCCTCACAGTCACAGCAGGGAGGTGAAAGGTGCATCTCCCGTGGCAGCAGACAAGAGAAGAGGGTTTGTGCAGGGAAACCTCCCTTTCTAAAACCATCAGATCTGATGACTCATTCACACTCATGAGAACAACATGGCTAAGATCTGACCCCATGATTCAATTACCTCCCATCGGGTCCCTCCCACAATACGTGGGAATTCAAGATGAGATTTGGGTGGGGACACAGCCAAACCATATCAGGAGCCATTGGAGGATTGAGTCAGAGTGGCTTTCAGGAGGGCAGGAACACAGAATGTGCTTTGTAACCCTATGTGAATAGTAGGTGACTCAGGACAGCACACCCCAAAATTCACATCCACCTGGTTTTCAGAACAGGACTTTACTTGGAAATAGGACTTTTACAGATGCAATTCATTAAAAGGAGGTTATACTGAATTAGGGCAGGCCCTGAACCCAGTGGCTGGTGTCCTTATGAGAAGATGAGAAGCACACAGACACACAGAGACGAAGGCCGTGTGAAGACAGAGCTGAGGTTGCAGTGACCTGGCCGCAAGCCAAGGAGCACTGAGGCTTGCTGGCAGGAAGGGTTCTCTCTTAGGGCTGCAGAGAGGGCGCATCCCTGCCAGTGCCTGGACCTCAGGCTTCTGGTCTCTGGAGCTGGGAGACAATGTGTTTCTGGGCTTTGTGAGCCACCTGGTTTGTGGCAGTTTGTTACCCCAGCCCCAGGCACCTAAAATACGTGGAAATAAATTACTTGATAAACCAAGTCTCAAGGGTGTGGCTGACCGTAGGGTACTGAGAGAGAAAACACCTCCACTTGCCTGCTTATGCCTGGATTGTTCAGCACGGCTTTCATTTCCTAATTAAAGGTAAGACCTTAGAGCAAATGGGTCCAGGAGGAGTAATGCAATGATTTGACTTAGATTTCATGGTGAGTGATGTTTCTGAGCCAAACATTGTTTTGAAACCCTTACTTGGGCACTGACGGTGCCAAATATTTGAACGCAAACAGAAAATGCAGTCACATAAGTGAACATGTCTTCACGCATTTGGTTATTTTGCTATGTCCGAAGAAGGAATGGACATGTCCAGCCTCCGCTTGTGGAGTCTGTGTGGTAGCACATGGGGCATAGAGTGTGCGCTGGTGCTCGGCCTGACTCCCGTTTTCCTCCATTCCTCTGGCTCTGGGTAGATTGCTGTCGTCAAAAGCACACAGAACTTTGGATATTTGCAGAAAAGTTTGGTGGTTTCAATTTCCCTCTGCTTATCAAGGGTTTTAAAACTGTTAATATTCTGAAACAGGGAAGTGTTTTTTCTCCTCTCACATAAAAACTAAGTTGGGAAAATAGCTTCAAACTGCCAATAAAAGGTATAGAAATGATGAATGTTTTCAAATCCCAAATATACACTTCTCTTCTCAGCTAAGAAAATGAAAGGTGGAAAGTCAGTCCATCAAAAAGGGAAAATCAGGCCGGGCACAATGGCTCACGCCTGTAATCCCAGTACTTTGGGAGGCCGAGGTGGGCAGATCACTTGAGGTCGGGAGTTTGAGACCAGCCTGGCCAACATGGCAAAACCTCTTCTCTTCTAAAAATACAAAAATTAGCCAGGTGTGGTGGCGCACGCCTGTGATCCCAGCTACTCGGGAGGCTGAGGCAGGAGAAATACTTGAACCCGGAAGTGGAGGCTGCAGTGAGATGAGATCATGGCACTGCACTCCAGCCTGGGCAACAGCGTAAGACACTGTCTCAAAAAAAAAAATTAAAATTAATTAATTAAAAATAAAAAAGGGAAAATTGAAACCATCATTTCCTAACTGCCTTTACTTGCAGAAGAATAAACCACGTCGGCTTAGAAATAAGTGATGTTATAAAAAAACATGAAACACTAAGTACAACACGTGAGAGATGTTTTGGCAGAAATCTACTACAAGTTATTGATTAATGAGTATAATTTTGTGTGAGCACACATGTTTTCATTATATTTTGGTCCCTTTATTTTAAATCTGAAGTAAGCTGCAACAAGGGTTGTATGTTTATAATTAAATTCAGCATTTGGTTCTTTTCTACATAATCCATGCAAGATGAGGAGTGATGACAAGCAAGATTCAACATTAAAAAAAAGTTATTTTCCTGATTAATTAGTAAATATAATCTTCAAATATTTGGATTTCTAAAAATATAAATGAGAAATGAATAGTGGCATTCTTGCAGCATGTTGGGATGATAAAAATCCAGAAGGCTCACCCCAGGCTCAGAGATGAATCCTGACAGTTGGTCGCTCGGTAGAAGGTGACAAATCTCAATCAGCATTATTAGTTGCAAAGTTCCAAAATTAGCTTGAGGCTCACAACAGCATGGCAATTAAAATACATTAGTAGAGGAGAAGAGATGAAAATAAATAAGATAAAAACAAATCATTTTATTCAAGCCATTGTCATAATACAACGCACATGCGAAAAGCGTGCGTCAACTCGGCCACCAGTCCCCTCCCTGCGCATCTCAGGCCTTCCCACTGTGGGCATCAGTGTGAGGGCCCGGGATTCTCAAAACTCCCTGTGCTGCTCGTGGGGCAGCTGTCTGCTTCCAATCTCTCTGCTTCCTGAAATCTTCCACGTGAGGGGCCACAGCATGACTTACGCTCTCGCTTCATGTATTCAGATTCCTCCTGTAACTATAAATGAAGTGCTACCATTTTGCTTTCTTGAACAAGAAGTTCGTGGTTTTTCTCTTTGGAATACAGAGAATGAGGGATTTTGTGAAGCTGTGCTTAGAAACACCAAATGGAAATTAAACTACATTTTGAGAATTAAACGATATTTTGGAAATTCTGCCAAAGTTAACTTTCTATGTTGAGAGTTTTACTTTTTTTTTTTTTTTTTTCAATAAACGATAAAACTTCTTGAGTCCAGTCGCCTGTCAGGGTTGTGGAAAGCCTGACAAGGACGTTTTCACAACCGTAGACAAGACAGTTCCTCTTCTTAGCCACCACCCTCAGCTTGGCACACATTCAGGTTAAATGAAAGTAATTAGAAAGGTAGCAGATTAGAGGGAAAAACACAGCCTCGAGGTTTGCTCTGAGGATCACATGAAATGAAGAATGAAATGAACAATGCAACATACTTTGTGAACTGCTAAGCATTACAATTTTTGAATGGCACTTTTTTTTTTCTTTTGCAATAGCATCTCGCTCTGTCACCCAGGCTGGAGTGCAGTGGCAGAATCTTGGCTCACTAAAACCTCTGCCTTCTGAGTTCAAGGAATTCTCCTATCGCAGACTTCTGAGTAGCTGGGACAACAGGTGTGCGCCACCACGCCGGGCTGATTTCTGTATTTTTAGTAGAGACGGGTTTCATCATATCAGTCAGGCTGGTCTCGAACTCCTGACCTCAGGTAATCCACCCATCTAGGCCTCACAAAGTGCAGGGATACTTTTTAAAGAGCATTTCTGCATTTTCCTTAGATTTAATGAATGCAAAAAAGCTCGAGGGAAGTTACTTCAATTTAGTTTCAGATACAATCTAAAGATTCACTTCAAGTATACCTGAAAACATAGAACCATGTGGAGGCTGTTTAAACAGCTCTCACATCCCATGGGTGATTGGGCCAGCATCTCAAAACCTGGACATGAATCAAGGAAGGGGCTTTCTGTCCTTACGTCCAGAGGCTGTACATATGGCGAAAATTTTGAACTGTGTTGCAGTTTTACGGGGGGGCAGGGATTGTACTTCTTTTTTTGCCTTGGATAGAATTAGATTGCCTATATTTATATTTATAACCTGCAAACGGAGAGTTTTATGCATTTATCCAGATATGCAGTCTCAGATTATGAGTAACTATAACCTTGAGTCTCAAGCCTTTTCAGCCTATATAAATGTATATAGATACATATATGTGTACATATACACGTGCATATAATACATATTTTATATATGTAATCTCTCTGTATGTATCTAATTCTGCTTGCCAGTGTGAGAAGAGTGGGGGAAAGAGAAAGCACTTTAACTTTCCTCCGGCTGTAAACCTGCTTGAGAGGAAGATCTGAAGCAGAGAAGGAAAGAAGCAAAGAAAGAATAGCTTTATCCAGCCATTCATTTGTTCACTTCCTCTTCAAATTCACATAGAGCCGGGCGCGCGGCTCGTTCAGTATTCGAGGTGGTAGTTCAGTGTTAGTTGGAGCCTTGTGCTGACATGATGCACAGTGACTTTTCAGAACAGTCTTTCCAAAAATGTCATATTTTGAAAAGCTATGTGCTACTCTAACACGTCAACAGTAATGCATCTCTAAAAAGATAAATGTTAAAAAGAAAAATCCAGTGTTAAGCTGATCACAAGGCTCCTATTCAGACACATGGCAGCCAGACTCTATCTCTAGTAAAAATATATACATATATATATGGCTAAAAATAACTGCAGTAAAACACAGAACATGCAGTCCGGAAAGCGCAGACGTGTCAAGAGAAGAAGCCAGAATGACAGATCTGACCGTTACCCACAGCCACGCTGAGACTTACTCTTGTTCCATGATGTTTTTGCTGACTTTTGGAAAAAGCCTGTAAAGATTAGTGGAAAAGGCAATGCGTTATATTTTGAAGCTCTTTTGAGCTTTTTGAACATGAAAATCTATGGCGTAGTCCAGGAAGATTCCACTGAATTGGAGGAGATTGCAGCCAATTTTTTGAATTCACTAAATTGACTTTCTTTAAAATACTTAGAGTTAAGGTATTATATAAATGTTCTGAACAAGAGAGCAAGAAGTACTCATAAAAAAGTGTTTAGACTAGGATTTGCTGCTGCTGCTGCTGTTTTGGGTGGAGGGTAGTCATTGGAATAATTGGAGTTCCTTCAAAGCAGTGATTTACGAGACTTTAAGGGCTTAATTCTATATGCTCATTTTCATTTTCTTAACTGCCTGCTTGAACTTCTCTGCCCAGGTCGGCCCCTCTAGATTCTTGGATTAAAATGCTGCCTGGGGACCGCCGAATCAAGAAGCATGCACTGAGTGCAGCGGCAGCTTTTAACTAGAGGATAAAAATAGCTCTGTTTTCACAAATGCAAGGAGAGAGTCCCAGCCTGATCCCAAGGCTGTGGAGGAAGAAGGCATGGGAACCT